GCAAAGAATAACACACAGACCTGCCACTTTTTTACATGAGGTTTGCAGACTTATGCTAAATTGAAGATTTTGTGAAAGAGTGTTACACGGGTGCTTCAGTGATNTCATACCGATCTTGGTAGTTTCTAATAGTCAGGAATAGATAGTTTCTGTTTGGTTGCCATAGGTAAAATGATGGATTCTGGACAGCTTGAATGACATCCGTGTTAACTGTTTTGCAAAAGGCTGGGGGAAATGTGTCAATTCAATTGGAAAGAGTTTACAGATTTGCAAGACTTTTCTTCTGCTGTGCTGGGATATGGATCCTAGTTTCTTTACCCTGTGAAACAATCAAGAAAATCTGTAGTGCAAACATGGCCTCAATCCAGAAGTCCATAATTACCTGGCAGTGTTGTTGAAGGAGACATTGTTGTAGTTACTGGAGATGTTGTAGTAGGTGTTGTAGTTGTTGTAGGTGTTGTTTCAGTGGTTGTAAGTGTTGTAGTTGTTGTAGGTGTTGTTGTAGGTGTTGTAGTTGTTGTAGGTGTTGTTTCAGTGGTTGTAGGTGTTGTAGTTGTTGTAGGTGTTGTTGTAGGTGTTGTAGTTGTTGTAGGTGTTGTTTCAGTGGTTGTAGGTGTTGTAGTTGTTGTAGGTGTTGTTGTAGGTGTTGTAGTTGTTGTAGGTGTTGTTTCAGTGGTTGTAAGTGTTGCAGTTGTTGTAGGTGTTGTTGTAGGTGTTGCAGTTGTTGTAGGTGTTGTTTCAGTGGTTGTTGGTGTTGTAGTTGTTGTAGGTGTTGTAGTTGTTGTTATAGGTGTCATTTGAGTGGTTGTAGTAGGTGTTGCTGTTGTAGTTGCTGTTGAAGAAAACAAACCATGACTTGTAAATGACTTTACCAAGTTACATAAACACGGCTAAACATAATCCATTACATGCCTTCTGACAGGTAGCTCCATTTTTTGTAGGTATTTTATTAGCATTGTGAAAATGTTCACCTTCTTTTGTAACTGTACAGTACTTTCAGCATTCACATATTTCTTACATTTATGCTTGGTATATCCTAGGCTGTGCATCAAATTTAATTCAAAATATTCCTATAAGTGTTTAGAGGATGCCCATATTTTATGCCAATTCATAAGTTTTTGATTTAGTGGCTAATTGGGATACATTTGTTCAATCTCGTTCATACATTTTAGTACAATTTGCTCATACCCCAATGGCGGTTGGGTTTAGGGGTGGGGTTTGATGCCATGCCTCCTTATCTGTTAAACTGACTAAATGAATAATAGTTACTTTTCCTCATGACATCAGGCTGGTTAAACCAAGACTGCCACTTGAATTGGTTCATGTTTACTTCAAAGTTTACTTCTGTTAACCAAGTAAAAGTGGCGCAGGCAGTGTATAACCATGTAAGTGGAGAGGAGTGGAGACGGGGTAATTGGCATATTCATGATTCTTTTGTATAGTAATTTGCATTAATTTGTAAATAATTGATTTATCATACAGAAAGCTGGAATCCTGTATCCATTGACTTCCATAGTTTTTGTTCTTCCTGCTATTGAAAAATCAATAGTTACAGGCCACATTAATACATACTATAGTAATTTATAGTCAATACTATAGTTCTTATTATAGATTTACCTTTTATATCTTCTTATAAAAACACATAGATCAGTAACTGAGAAAAGGTCATCAATATGTGTTCAGTATTTCTGTATCTGCCTGTGTTTAGTCAAGTTGATGTTTTCTCAATTTGTTATGGATACATATGCATGTGTTTTTCTTAATTGCAGCATGTTTGACCATTCTCAGCCAACGAGCTAAAGGGAAACATACTGTGTGGGAAAACATAAACATAACACACATATACATATCAAAACATAAACAAAAACACACATATATTGTGACTAACAATACACACATACTGTTCATTCAATCAATCATTTTCTGTTCGGTTTAGTTCCTTTATTGATCTAAGGGTTGCCACAGCGGAATGAACCGCCAACTTATCCAGCATATGTTTTACACAGCGGATGACCTTCCAACTGCAACCAATCACTAGGAAACACCTATACACACTCATTCACCAACACATACACTACAGACAATATTAGCTTAGCCAATTCACCTATAGCGCATGTCTTTGGACTGTTGGGGAAACCAAAGCATCTAGAGGAATCCCACATGATCACGGGGAGAACATGCATACTCCACACAGACATGCCAACTGACCCCGCTGAGGCTCGAACCAGCGACCTTTTTGCTGTAAGGTGATCGTGCTACCCACCATGCCACCGTGACGCCCCAAACATACTAACGATAGTTTATTTTTTTATTTTATTTTTACATTTATTCAATTCAGTTCAGCTTTATTTGTATAGCGCTTTTACAATGTAGATTGTGTCAAAGCAGCTTCACATAAATGGTCATAGTATCTGGAACAGTGTAGTTCAGTATCTGGAACAGTGTAGTTCAGTTTTTAGTGTTTAAGTTCAGTTCAGTTCAGTTTAGCTCAGTTCAGTGTGATTTAATCATTACTGAGAGTTCAAACACTGAAGAGCCAATTCATCGATGCGTAGCTCTACCAATCCTGAACCATGCGAGCCAATTAAAAGCCAATTAAAACCAATTTATGTTGGTTTCTGCACTGTAAAGGGCAGGGTTCCACACAATTCATTCATGTTGTCCTAACACAAATCGATTAAGTTAACTAAACACTGTTAACAAATTTATGTGGATTGAACATAAAAAAAAATTAAGTTGTCCCAATGAAATCTCAAGAATTGTGTTGTTTCAGCTCATTTTAATTAAGTAGTTTGAACAAGTAAAAAAATATGTTTTGAGTGTAGTGAAATGAAAATTAACATAACAGTTGTGCTGAGACATGAAACAACGCTGGCTGAAAAAAAAGCGTGACAACATTTTTCTATAATAATTAACTGACCGTAACCTGTGAGCTGTACTCATACCTGTCGGTAGTCCACCGTCCACCCTGAAGACCCATCGGCCTGGAACATTGACATTACTGGAGGTGTTGAGGTTTGAGACGGAGCTCCCATTGTTTGATCCAGGAATCACAAAGTAGTTTGTGGAGTTTATTGTGTCAAAACCAGCCTGAAAGTAATAAAATAATATTCATGTAAAAAGTTGACAAACAGTGCACAAACTTTTATTCTGTAGTAAACAGTAATTTTTTGTTCTCATTACAGAAAAGTTTCTTTTACCTCCACTGTACGTCCTGTTGCAGCAATATTTCCATAATTCATCAGAATAAATGAATAATTACTGCCTGAGATTAAAACCACTTGAAAAGATGTTTCCTGAAATAATAATAATAAAATAAATGAATAAGAAAACCATTGAAAAAAGTGTTCAATATGTATGAGCAGCACAGATGACAGACATCGTTCTGCACTTGTTACTTTATATTATCTTATGTCTTAAAGTATTTTTTTAATTAAATCATGCATAAAGTGAAAACATGAACATTTCAGTGTGTTGATCTTACTGCTGTAGAGGAAAGGTACGGTACTTTATCCCATGATGCTACAAAGACCCAAGAAGCAGTGAAGGGCAGATTTGGGAAATAATTGTTGATATCCTGAGTGGCGCGAGTGAGAACACTTCCATTACTGTATTGATGATAAGAGATGACTCCACTTGCTCTGTTATCAAGGTCAGCCCAGAATCCAGCAATAATATCCCTACTTCCATTAGCAGGAAATGAGTAGGGAACATATTGTGAAGAAGCCTGGCTGAATGTGAGGTGTCCATTATTATTAACCTGAAACATCACAAATACTGTTAAAATCACAACCAGAGATTTTTTATCTCCAAATCACAAATTAATTTATAAAGCATCTAAAACCCTCATGAACACAATGAGACAAAATGAAATCAAATTCTTACATAAATCTGCTGGTATGTTCGTCCAAAGAACAGAAAGGGGCTCAACAGTGTAATAGCAGAGGAGCTTGCATCATCAGCAGCAGTATTTTTTGAGTCTCCTGCTGATAAACCGAAAGGGTAGAAGATTCCTGATCCTGCTTAGAAAAAAAGAGGGAGAAAATAATATTAAGAATAAAAATGAAGCGGGTCGATGATGACCTCTGGTGGTGAACTCATGCTGACGTGACAGTAAAATAACCACTGATTGTGCTTCATGCTTGGCACATTACTGACAAAACTGCACCATTCATTAACAGGTTGTCCGTATAGATTTTCAGTTTGTGCAATGGCTTTAATAGTAGCTAAAATTATAGCTGTTTTAAGAACAGCTATTATCATTCTAAGAGCAGGGGCGGACTGGGACAGTTTCAGGTCAGTTATTTTGTAAATAGGCATATTGATTTTTCTTTGTCGTTTTGCGCTAATATCTGTCAAAATATGTGCAATAGCAGCCCGACTACCATCACTTGAAATTCTATATGCTGATATTATTATTTGTAAAGTAACTTAACGTGGTATTTTCATAGTATTTTTTTTTTCGAACCAGCGACCTTCTTGCTTTGAGGCAACAGTGCTGATCTCTGAGCTACCGTGTTGTCCCTTTTAGCGTTGAACAGATTTTTATACAAGTTAATACTAGTTTTAGACAATTACGCTGCCAGTTTATTGGGTTTAAATTTCTTTTTACCCTTTTTACTATTTGGTTTTCTGCTTATTTTGTGTTTAAAAACTTTAACAAATTTAATAACGGTCTAAAAACAATATAACAACTAATACTATTACTACCTAATAATAATGTGGAAACACTTTACAATAATTGTACATGAGAAATAATGTGTTAATATGTAAACTAAACATTACATTTTTATGAACTAATGATGAGTTAATGTATGTGCTAATCCTGAACTTTAACTACAACATGAGTCACTTGAGTTCATTTGTGAATAACAGATACCTACATTACTTGTTAGTACATGCTTGTTTGTTAATTCATTTGCTCACGTAAAGCTATTGTGTTATGATATAAGCAGCAGCTTGCTAATAATATTCAATATTTTGAGATCTCTTTTATTTTATTGTAACTTAAGTGAAGGGCAGCACGGTGGTGCAGTGGGTAGCACAATCGCCTCACAGCAAGAAAGTCCCTGGTTCAAGCCCTGGCTTGGCTGGGTCAGTTGGCATTTCTGTGTGGAGTTTGCATGTTCTCCCTGTGTTGTCGTGGGTTTCCTCCGGGTGCTTTAGTGTCCCCCAGAAGTTCAAAAACATGTGGTCTAGGTGAATTGGGTAAGCTAAACTGGTCATAGTGTATGTGTGTGAATGAGGGTGTATGGATGTTTCACAGTTATGGGTTTCAGCTGGAAGGGCATCAACTACGTAAAACATATGCTGCATAAGTTGGCGGTTCATTCTGCTGTGGCGACCCCTGATTAATAAAAGGACTAAGCCCAAATGAACATGAATGAATGAATGAAACTTAAATGAGTTTGTGTCATAAACACTGATAGACGCCCTGCTGTCAAATAAATGGTCGAGTCATGATCTCAAACCTGTGTTCTGTACTTATACCTGTCAGTGGTCCACCGTCTACCCTGAAGGCCCATCGGCCTGGAACATTGACATTACTAGAGGTGTTGAGGTTTGAGACAGAGCTCCCATTATTTGATCCAGGAATCACAAAGTAGTTTGTGGAGTTTATTGTGTCAAAACCAGCCTGAAAGTATATCAAACAATATTGGTGTAAACAGTTGACAAACAGTGCACAAACTTTTATACTGTAGTAAATAGTAATGTTTTGTTCTCATTACAGAAAAGTTTCTTTTACCTCCACTTTTCGTTCTGTTGCAGCAATATTTCCATAATTCATCAGAATAAATGAATAATTACTGCCTGAGATTAAAACCACTTGAAAAGATGTTTCCTGAAATAATGATAATAAAATAAATGAATAAGAAAACCGTTGCTAAAGTGTTCAATATGTATGAGCAGCACAGATGACAGACATCGTTCTGCACTTGTTACTTTATATTATCTTATGTCTTAAAGTATTTTTTTAATTAAATCATGCATAAAGTGAAAACATGAACATTTCAGTGTGTTGATCTTACTGCTGTAGAGGAAAGGTACGGTACTTTATCCCATGATGCTACAAAGACCCAAGAAGCAGTGAAGGGCAAATTTGGGAAATAACTGTTGATATCCTGAGTGGCGCGAGTGAGAACACTTCCATTAGTGTACTGATGATAAGAGATGACTCCACTTGCTCCGTTATTAAGGTCAGCCCAGAATCCAGCAATAATATCCCTACTTCCATTAGCAGGAAATGAGTAGGGAACATATTGTGAAAAAGCCTGGTTGAATGTGAGGTGTCCATTATTATTAACCTGAAACATCACAAATACTGTCAAAATCACAACCAGGGAATTTTTATCTCCAAATCACAAATTAATTTATAAAGCATCTAAAACCCTCATGCACACAATGAGACAAAATGAAATCAAATTCTTACATAAATCTGCTTGTATGTTCGTCCAAAGAACAGAAAGGGGCTCAACAGTGTAATAGCAGAGGAGCTTGCATCATCAGCAGCAGTATTTTTTGAGTCTCCTGCTGATAAACCGAAAGGGTAGAAGATTCCTGATCCTGCTTAGAAAAAAAGAGGGAGAAAAAAATGTATTGCAGCTGAGTTACTAGTCTCTAATCATGTATAAAAAAAGAGAATCAAACATGGAGATTCTCAAAACCCTTTACGAGTAACTACTTTCTTTCGCTATTCATTCAGATCTGCAGCTGGCGTCAGAACAGCAGAAACTGTTGCTAAATCACCAACATCACTTTAAAGCTGGTGTTTAAGTTATTCTCCTACATAATGTCTAAAGTGATGACAAAACAGCTCATTTTGTTATTATTATAAGATTACACGGCTGAACAGCATTAAATGCCGTCAGTCTACAAAGATTTCCCAGTATTTCTCTGTTGCAATTGGGAGATCACAATAATTAACTCCGAAAAAGCAAAAGCAAAGCAAACACTACTAGATTACTGTTGTGTTTGCAATATGGAAAAACGCTAACCCATGTGGGCATTTCTTCTTTCTTTCTTTTTACTGAACTCTTCTGCAGTAACAAAAACAGGAGACACATTAGAAACAAACAGATGGCCAAACAAAAAGAATAAAGCAGAGAGAAAATATACATTTTAAATAAAAACTCATTACAGTTTTTCTTGATTGCTTTGAAGCAGCTGTCAGCTGAAACCCCACATTTTCAAAACCAAAGCCTAAGCAGGAGAAGAGCCTGGATGCAGACCTGGTACAAATGCAATCTGAGCTGCATGTCATGCTTTTTAATGACCCCACCCCTAACCCTACACCTCACAGTGACATCACTAACTCCATTGAGTGCATTGTGTCTGACATTGCATCGCTGAGAAATGCAATCTCACATTGCCTCATAAAAGCTGCATCCAGATACTATTTAAACAGTGGCACTCATGGTTAAAACGACAATGCCAAATATTGAATCCAGAATAAGAATTGCTTTAATGCAGTTTTTATTGAATAATGCTGACATTCAATATTCAATGACACAAACTAAAAATACTGTAAATATTACAGAGAATATATATATATATATATATATATATATATATATATATATATATATATATATATATATATATATATATATATATATATATATATATATATATATATATATATATTTATATAATAAAAAAATAAAAAAATAAATAAATAAATATATATATATATAT